GAGATGTGTATACAAAATTAATTCCATACTCATGGAGAAAAATTTGCGTTATTCGAAAATGGGACATGGTTCCTCCCGTACAAATTTACTGTTTTATACTGCATATCTCTAGAGGTGTTCATGGTAGAGTATAGGGACTTAGTACTGGGGTATGTAAAATCAATTCTAAATTCATGGAAGATTAGGGTTATAAGAAAAAGGGGCGTGGCACTTCCAGTTCAAATTTACTTTTTCTTGCCACATATCCCTGGAAGTGTTTGTGGAAGAATACTGGAACTTGGTATGGAGTTGTGTATACAAAATGTATCAATTGCTCATGGGGAAAAATGTGAGTTATTAAAAGGAGGCATGTCGCCTCGCATACATACTCTCTGGAAGTATTTTAAATTTGTTATGGAGATTTATTTTATAAGTGCCGTACTGACAGAATAAATTTCATTTAATGGAAACGGGAGAGCCGGGTTCGGTCTTATAATCTAAAGCTCTTTTAAGGCATTTGCTACAGTAATGAGAAGTGGTATTTTATCAATGCCAGGTTACTAAATTTGAGTTGGAAATATTAGAACCCGTCGTGGCACCTCCAAGAATGTTACACGTTCACGCGTCGTATACCTGGAACCATTTTAAGTTAAACTTAGAGGGATTGATATCTTTCGTATGCCTAGCGCGCAGACGAGATTTTATAATTTCATAGTTTTAAACGGCCTAAATACCTTAACTCACTTAGAAAATAACGAGCTATAATGAAATGGGCACAGAATTAAAATATACCATCATTAAATTATATAAGCTAAGGGTATAAGCTAGTATACATATATATATATTCAAGATAATAATTAAATTTTTGTATATCTATTTTACTTTTTGCTGACTCAGGCGATTTTTTTGTTTATGCCGATTATGGGCCAAATCAATTGACTTCTTAACGTTTTTCTCAAAATTCATTCGGCCCTCGCACTTAAAAAGAATTAAAAATAAGGTGAGCTCGCCAGATAAAAAAGTTTTTAGATTTTTGTTTGTACCAAATAAAAGTTCGTCCACCACTTTCAAACAGATTGCGGATGACGTCGTTGACACTTCCGGAAGCCCCTTTGACCTTATACATATATGTTATCTAATATGAACAAAAATAGTTGTTAGATAGGGGTCACTTTTATATCTTTACTTGTAGTAAATTACCATTGCTTGCTTGAATTCGGGGTTTGTTAGACTTTGTTCCACTTCTGAGGAGATGCCAATATCGCCATTGTGAAGTTTAGCGGAAATTTCTTCCAAATGTTTGTCCTCGATTTCTCCGGTAATTTGGCTAACGGACTGCTGTACCTTCCTGAGCATCACCTTGCACTCCCTAATAAGCTGGTTCTGGGCCATCATATCGCTGCGTTGGACAACCTGTTGAAATGATAAACTCAGTATTATTAGCAAATAAGTATTCAGTATAAACAGTAAATAAATAAACAGTATTCTTTGGATACAAGCTCCGTCTGAAATGCATGAGATACGCCCGGAATCCTTATATGAAAACGCGTTTAGAAGCAAGTTCTTCGAAAGATATCACTGCTTATAAGCGGGGGAGGCTTATATTAGGGATGCTTATAACCGGGGAATACCGTACTGTTTTATTACGTTGTTTGCGAGTGTCTGCTCTATTACAGTAAGTCTGCCCTCGACTTTTTGCAAATAATATTCTATGCCATTCTGCTTTTCCAGGATGCTCCTTAAAAAGTGTGTTATTTCTGTAATGAGGTAAGAGTTTATAAAACATATTTTAAGTATAATATAGAGAATAGCTAACCGATCTTGCTTCCTGTTTAGCGTTCTTGCACGATGTGGGACCCTCTGCATGTAATAAATTTGGAGATAGTTTACGATTTGCATATATCTATATGCATTTATAACTATACAAAAAATTACCTTTATTCATTTCTTGGTATGCCCCCTTGGATGTCGTGGGGCCTTCATCGTAAATGTTGGTTGTTTCCCACCTCTTTTGTCTAATTCTAGTCTGGGAAAGAATATTTTTAGGTAAAGAATATTACCCAACTTTTAGTAAAATTTTTTTTTTTTTTTTTTTGTTTTAGTAAAATTATACCTTATTGATAGTCGACATCGAAGGCTCAAAAATATTTTTTTGTGAATCCTTTAGAAAAATTATTTTATATAAAAAAGAATAGACTACATAAATGTATTTATGTCATTGAAAATAAAATCAAATAGATTTAAAAGTTTTTGCGTGTAAACAAATAAACGGAGTGCGTTGTAAAATCGACTACTGCACCGATTATGAGCCCTAACACTTTTTTAGAACTGTTAAACAGTTGTAGTCCATCGATTCCTATATCAATTAAAATTTCTGTGGATTGTTCTAATAAACTTAAAGAAACTGCTTCAAAGTGTTTTTGTATACCTAAATATACAGATTCGCCATCTGGAGTAGATCGCACTTCAACTTTCTTTTTATTTGTTCCTAAAAGTGTTTTTGCTGACAAAGGTATGTCTTTGAGGCCTATTTTGTGCTACGTATGCAAGAAATCGGAAAGCACACTTTGAGAAATTTTGCTCCTTATAGCAAAAGCCTTTAATTCTACGCACTTGTCCCTATTATAGGAGCCCAAATTTATGGTTTCATTTTCGAAATCTACAGCCCTAAAATCTTCATCACTATAGGGACTGTGGCTCACTGGGCTAAGTGTAGCGCGCACATTTTGGTCAATGGGAGTATTTATGGTCATTGGACCAGAAGCATCAAATATCACTTCCTCCCAAAAAGAGTTTATAGCTGCTGGACTGCAAGTCCCACTTATATCGTTTGCATTGACACAATTTGTGGCCACAGGACAAGAATCACCACACTGATCACTCAAAACAACGCACTCCGCTTTGTATCGCTTTGCATTTTGCAAAAACCTATGCTTTTCTAAGCTCATATAAGTTTGAAAGCTTTTTTATTCATTTTTTAATTAAAATTTCCTTTTTTCACCTTTTTTACGCACAGGACGCAGCACAATTTTATGAAATTCACTTTTGTAATGGCGTGCCAAAATGCTTTTTGACACTTGTGAACAATGTTGCCATTTTCAAAGAAATTTGTCAAAATAACTTTACTATTTCTAACATGAAATGTTCAAATATACACATACTAGCTAAACCCGCGGGTTTCACCCCACGTTTTTATACAAATATGAAAAATAATTTAATGATGTTATATTTTATTTCTGTGCCCGTTTCATTATAGCTCGTTATTTTCTAAGTGTGTTAAGGTATCTAGGCCGTTTAAAACTATGAAATTATAAAATCTCGTCTGCGCGCTAGGCATACGAAAGATATCAATCCCTCTAAGTTTACCTTAAAATGGTTCCAGGTATACGACGCGTGAACGTGTAACATTCTTGGAGGTGCCACGACGGGTTCTAATATTTCCAACTCAAATTTAGTAACCTGGCCTTGATAAAATACCACTTCCCATTACTGTAGCAAATGCCTCAAAAGAGCTTTAGATTATAAGACCGAACCCGGCTCTCCCGTTTCCATTAAATGAAATTTATTCGGTCAGTACGGCACTTATAAAATAAATCTCCATAACAAATTTAAAATACTTCCAGAGAGTATGTATGGGAGGCGACATACCTCCTTTTTAATAACTCACATTTTTTCCCATGAGCAATTGATACATTTTGTATACACAACTCCATACCAAGTTCCAGTATTCTTCCACAAACACTTCCAGGGATATGTGGCAAAAAAAGTAAATTTGAACTGGAAGTGCCACGCCCCTTTTTCTTATAACCCTAATCTTCTTCCATGAATTTAGAATTGATTTTACATACCCCAGTACTAAGTCCCTATACTCTACCATGAACACCTCTAGAGATATGCAGTATAAAACAGTAAATTTGTACGGGAGGAACCATGTCCCATTTTCGAATAACGCAAATTTTTCTCCATGAGTATGGAATTAATTTTGTATACACATCTCGGTGCCAAGTTCCAGTCCTCCGCAATAAACACCTCCAGAGATATGCAGCATAGAAAAATCAATTTGCATGGGAGTTGCCACACCACCTTTTCCAAAAACTCTCATTTTTCTCCATAAGTATGGTATTAGTTTCAGATACATATGTATTTCCATACCAAGCTTGAGTACTTTACCCCAAACATTTGAATATGACCAAACTTTACAATATAAAACTTTCAGTCAGTATGGGAGGTGCTACGCTTCTTTTCCAAAAACGTCAATTTTTCTCCGTTAATATGAACACGTTTTCACGCAGTGTTGGCAAAATGTTAATCTAATTAACGATTAAAAATTAACGATTAAAATGTTAATCGCGTTTGACGATTAAAATTAATTAGTCGTAATCAACTGTACGATTAATGATAACATTTTTTTAATCGTTAATCGCTGGCTGCGATTACGTTTAATTAATTTAAAACATTAATCGTTAATCCAATTAAAAATAAAATCTGATTAATTTGTCTAGTTTGTCCGAGTTTGAAACCAAACACCAGTTATAGTAATTATTTTGTGTTTTACGCTTATAAAAAGCACATAATATAAAAAAATTATAATTATTGTTATTAGTAATACATAAACTGGGAACTTTTACAAACCTAGTTTGTAAAACGTTTGTTGGTATATATCTTAATGAAAATGCACACCAAATTGCTTAGATTGATGAGGAAACCCGACTTAGCCATACCGGATTAACTTGCTTTGTGTGCACAGGAAAATTCCAGCATAACTTAATTAATCACCAAACCTACTTGATCAAATTAAGAGTTAATGATTAAAAATTAATTTTTTAATCGCGGTTACGATTAACTGTTTAGTCGGATTAAAATTAATCATGATTAACTGTAATCAGATTGAATTTAATCGAATTAACTAACTGATTAAAACATCAATCGATTAATGCCATCATTGATTTCACATACATATCACTATACCAAGTTTCAGTTCTCTCCCACAAATACTTCCAGAGATATGTATGTAATATGAAAACTCCAATTTGTATGGGAGGGGCCTTGAGTTATCGGACTTATCGGACCCTCCGAAATCCGTAGTAAGTGTACTAAATTTCGTTCTGATCGGAAAACCGATTAAGGAAGTAGCCTATTTGTCAATCCAGGTCATAAACCATCTTTGAGCAAAATTTCATTTTCAAACAGGTGGCAATTCTTAGAAAAGTAGCCTATTTCCCAATCTAGGTCATAAGCTATCTGTGTGGAAACTTTCATGCAAATCAGTTCAGTTATTTAAGCGTATTAATTTAATTAAACTTTTCTTATACGTGACAACTCTTAAAATAGTAGCCCATTTTCCAACATAGGTCATAAGCTATCTCTGTGCGCAATGTCATGCAAATCTGTTTAGTCGTTTCCGCGTATTAATTTAATTAAACTTTTTTAACAGGTGGCAACTCTTCCAAAAGTTATCCTGTTTTCCACTGTAGATCATAAGCTATCTGTGTGCAAATTTTCATGCAAATCCATTCAGTCGTTTCCGCGTATTAATTTAATTAAACTTTTTTAACAGGTGGCAACTCTTCCAAAAGTTATCCTGTTTTCCACTGTAGATCATAAGCTATCTGTGTGCAAATTTTCATGCAAATCCATTCAGTCGTTTCCGCGTATTAATTTAATTAAACTTTTTTAACAGGTGGCAACTCTTCCAAAAGTTATCCTGTTTTCCACTGTAGATCATAAGCTATCTGTGTGCAAATTTTCATGCAAATCCATTCAGTCGTTCCCTCATATTAAATAAATAATACTTTTTTAACAGGTGGCAACTACTAAACAGATAGCCTATTAACCAATCTGGCCCATAAGCTATACGTGTACAAAATTTCATGCAAATCCGTTCAGTCTTTACCGCGTGATGATTTCCCAAACATCCAAACATACAAACTTTGACATTTATAATATTAAATTAAGATATTAGTAAGATAACTAAATTTTAACTAGAATTTAGATATGTGAGTATGTAACAATTAATATTTTACGTTTTGAGAACAAAATTATTAGTTTCCTTTACTTTTTAATCTTGGTATTCGAAAAAAAATTTTATTTTATAACATGATATCGGCAACACTAGTTTCACACTTGTCATAAATATGCGCAACTTGTTGTCTCGTTCTATCTTGCAGAGTTGTAGCATAATAAAAGTTTGGCGCATAATTCAAATGAAGGAGTCTAAAAGAGCAAGATGTCACTTATTAAAACAAGTGTCAGTTAAATTTATATGTATTAGTGTCAATTCCAAATTTTGTAATTGTGTTGGAGTTTCAGGTAGTCGCTTCTTGCTGGTAGGTTTCACTGCAAAAATTTTAAGACTGTGTGGTAGGGTTTATATATGTAGTCATGTAAAAAATAATAGGGATACGACATTTTGACCAGTTTTGGCTATTATTCTGTTTAATGTGTACTATTTTTTAAAATAATACAGTTCATTATCTAACAAAAACCGTATAAGTCCATATTTCAAACTTAATAATAATAATAGATTGGCGCTTAGACATATGTTAGTGTTTGGCTGAGCTTTTCCTCCGATTTGTGGCGTGCGCCTTGATGTTGTCACACAGAGCGGAGGGACCTACAGTTTTACGCCGACTCCGAACGGCGATTTTATTTTTATGAGAAGCTGTTTTTCATGGCAGAAATACACTCGGAGGTTTGCCATTGCCTGCCGAGGGACGACTGCTGTTAAGAAAAAACCTTTTTCTATACTTTT